ATAGCAAGATTTGATATATATATATATATATATATATATATATATATGTGCCTTGAAAATATAAACATAATACAAGATTGATATAGAAATAAATGATGTCTTTAAAGCTTCAAAAGATGCTTCAAATTCTTTGCTCTATTGAAATTTTTCTTTATATGTTAAGCATATATAAGGAACTATAACTTGAATAAATTTCTTGATAAAAATCAAGTAATAATTAGTAATTTTTTTAAATATATATATATATATATATATATATATATTTTATTATTTTTGAGAACTTTCAATCTATGATAATTTGGACTTTCTTAAGATCCATCATAAGACCATTATTTGACATGATGTACTTTAGAAAGTTAACTTGAGTAATGAAAAATATATACTTTTCTATCTTATATTTGTTTATAATAAGTAAAAAATAACTGAAACATATAATATATTTATAAGTATTGATACATATTACAATGATTAATAGATTAATTTAAAGAGAGTTAATATAAGAAAATTTATTTTGAAGTTAATCTATTTTGATTATAGTATTTAAATTATATAAGATTTAGATATTTAATATAAAATTTAAAGAAAAGATTGAGACTTAAAGATTAAGATTCAAACCTCTAAGAAACTTATTTAGAGGGATGAAAGTAAGATATGGATGGATGAAGGTAAGAAGTAAAGATCTTCATCCTTATTAGTCAAAAGCCATATCCAATAGTCTCTCAAGAGATTATCCACAATAATAATAAGGATTTTGGTGGCTTCAAAAAAAACATTTAAGAATCAAAAGCAAGGATTGTAACGTTTAGTTTAGCGAAATATAGATAAGATATTTGTATTGTTGATACATAGAGATAGATAGTTAAAGCTATATTTGAAAACTTTATAGAAGTTTCTAAAATTGGGACTATATAAGAACCATTGTGGATCATTCTAAAAGAATATAAGCACTTAATTATGCTCTAAAATTTTAATTTTTGTTATTTTTTATTTTATGATAATTAAACATATTAGATTAGGATTTATATAAGTAAAATTTAATGTTATAGAATTTGTAGGATTAGAGCCTTTGATGGTATAAATCATAGCTTAATTCCTTGATTTAGGATAATTAGGACCAAAGTGATAAGAGTTAGAAAATTAAAAACATAATTTAATTACTTTTAATAATTTAGAGATTATTAATTATAACTATGAGGATTAACTAAGAGCCTATGAGTTTATCTATAATCATCTTATATAATTTAGAATGAGTTAGAATTATAATTTTTTAAAAGATCTAATGAAGTTTAGTAATGACAATTTTGAGATTTCCTCCAAATTCAATAAATTCAAGCGGCATAGCGGTTCTTCTATTTAATAGAAACCTTTCCAATGCAATAGTGGCACCAAATTTATCCCTTGAAGTGAAGAAAACAAAATCAGCACCTTCTCTTTCAAAATACAAGTAGAATTATGAAATTCTCATTTTGAAGAATTTTACAAGAATTACCAAAATCCTTTTAGATAAAAACTTTTATAAAAATTACAAATGAGCATGGATTGAGGCATGAGAGTAGTTGATTTTAGCATAAAAAGATATTTTGAATACAAAGGTGAAGTTATATTTACCAAAAAGTGCTTTCTTTGACCACTCACAAGAGCCATCAGCCTTGGTAATGAAATTAGCTCTTAGATGAATGAAGGCCTTAGATCTACATTAGGCATCTTAGAGATCAAGGGTGGAGATGCGGCCACCCTCTCAAAAACCACCACTCAATTTTATAAGAGTGGCTTGGTTCTCCAAGCCATCTCTCTCCTCTTTTAGTGAACGACACAACCATGCCAAATTTTGGCCCTAAATCTTAATCTTAATTTCAATTTTGATCTTAAATCTCATTGTAAACTTTCTGATTGTGTGTGCATGGATCTTGAGTAGTGAATGATGGTCATTAGGTTTTAAGACATACTTCATTGTGGTAGATAGCTCCTTCGCCTCCTAAATACTCTAAGGATTTTAAGAGCCTCAGATTTCCTTCAATCACTTATTTAATTTTTTGATTTTCAATGAAAAATGTTTTTTGGCTATAGCTTTTGGTTTTAGCTTTCCAATAAGGTAAGGGCCACTCGATTTGGAGTAAAGGCGAAATTTTGGTGGAATTTTGAGTGCATGGGGGTCGGCTGCAATGGCAGTTTAAATTACCCACCTTTGAAAAGGTATTTCTTAGTGCTTCCTAATTGGATTATTTTTAATATTTGAGATAAAATTTATCTTTAATCTGAAATTCTAAGGACATAAAATGCATTAAATTTGAAGAAAAATTGAATTTTTGGTTGATTTCCAAGTAGAGAGAGGTTGCCTACTGTGGTAGTCTTAGTTAGTCAATTTTGAAGGAGCATTTCTTGCGGTTAGATACTAGATTGAATTTAAATTTATTGAAGCAAGAGGGGCTAAAATAATATAATTCGATACATTCTGTGATAGATAATATGGACATAATATCTGCTACACATCAGCCTGGTTAATTTATTGATAACAGGTATCTTTCACACAGGTTCTTAATCGATACTTTTCTGTATCACTAAGGGTACTCAGTTGCTGGCTCGCCTAGCCGAAAAAATGTGGATACCATCGGATTTCATATTCCTCTACTTAAGGTGTATTGGGTAAATTTACATAAATGTGTACCACCTGATTACCATTTGAGCAAACAGTCTTTCAAGAGACTGCATGTGCACTTGTTACATTAGAAGCTGTGTCCACTTCTGTACTTTACAGAAACAGTCAGTGGCACTTCATTTCATTGAATACTTCGGATTTGGGGTAGGGCTTAAGCAGATCATTCAGAGTTAAGTTCAGGGACGGGCTTCGTGCCGTTTGTCTTCATTCTTTAAGGTCATCACTCAGCACTTCTTAGAGGTTTGCTGCTACACCAGCCGAAGCTATCAGCGCAACATGTTGTCCTCATTGCGATTCACCCTTCTACCAACACCATACGGTCACTCAGTACTTCTTAGAGGTTTGCTGCCACCCTTGCCGTAGCATTCAGCGCAAGATTGTATCCTCATCGTGACCTCCACCCAAACATATCCACCCCATGTTTCCCATTCCATCTCCAAATCCCTCATTTAACGGATATCTATTTTTGTAATCACCATTTTCATGATTAGCATGTTATAATCCTCGGGACTGCTGCGCCACACGCCTCACTCGTGGCTTTTGTCAGACCCAATAATGACCAAAAAGCAGTAATCCGCTATCTGATAAAGTGAGGGTTCTATCACTCTTGGAACTCTTATTCGACTCCACAGCACTGTATCAGCTGAAAAGACAAACTTTAGGTCCCGCACTCTAACATTCCATGGATCAGTAGGCAAAACTCGCTGGTGTTTCTCCACTCATCCAAAAGGATTCTCAGAAACACGGACCAATTGCGATCATCATCTCCAAATTCCTCACCCGCATGCGTGCTCGTATTCTATGGGTAGTACAGTCTGTCACGCCTTCGGCACTCAGTCCTGATTGTTTCTCAAGTCATAGCACTCACATCACCACCATCCAACCCTAAAACCTACCGCACCACCCGGCATGAGCATCATCAGCGACTTAAATATCGGTAATCACAAGCAATCTCATTTTGTTGCAGTATTTTCGTCATCACACGATCTCACACCAAAACACCCAACAACAACCACACGAGACCGAGCACGGGTCAGCAAAGAATGGATTGTGCCTCAAGTTTTTAAGATCAGCGACGGCGAACCGTCTCGCACATCTAATTGAAGTCCTCATCCCCGTAAACCCTAACAACAACTCATTCTAACAAACAAGCCGGCATGTCAAATGAACCTGGGAAACCGAATCAGTTGCGAAACCGCAAGAAAAAGAGGTGCAGTGAAGTGGATACAGAGAGACTACGAGGCAACGCGATGGAAGACGAGATAACTCTGGTGTGAGAGGGTGGCGGCTTTATACAACCACGGACCAACCCACAAAACCCTAAAGCCCTAAAATTATTGAAGTGTTTGATTCTGGATTGAGGGATGAAAGAAGCCATCACTTAGTTGGTCGAAGAACACATCGCTTTTGTTCATTCTTCTTCTTGAAGGGTTTCGTTGACTTGAATGTGCTTTTTTTTTACTTTTCGTTGTTATGTGATCATTTGTTTTCTAGGTACTGAGACTGCTGGTTTGGTTTTCACTTTACATTGGAATTTTAATTAGATATATGGATTAAGAAAAACGAATGATATTTATGTCTCATGTTTTTCGACATGACCTCTTAAAATTTTCTCGGCATGTTTTTTTTTTTTTTTTTTTTTTTTTTGTTTTTTTGAGCAATCGATTTTAATATGGTATAACTTTACTCTGATGGATGTATTTAGGTGATTTGGGATTGGACCTTGAGAAAAATTGTGTTGTTATATATTTGTATTCGCTAGCATTAAGTCGCTACCTTGTTTAAGTTTTTGTCCAACGCAAGTTGTTGATGAATTACATAATTTGAAACAAGAGTGAACAACGAAGCAAACTCTTTACTTCAAAAAAATCCAGAAATCATATCGTATGAACAGTGTTAAGAATTTCATAATTATCATGATATGAAGACATTACTCACAGTTTTTTCATTTTTCGATAGTTCAATTACGAGAGAATTTCAATTTTTAAGTGAATTCACGTTATTACTAATAATCTAATGTAGTAAATACACAACACTGATTTGTAAGATTGTTATCGATTTCGAATTTAGAATTATGGTTAGGAAAATCACAATTTGTTAGTTTAACATAGCAATTGGTCATCGCCTTTGTTATATAGTTGCAAAGACTGAAAGAAATAAGTTTTATATAACATGCACATGAATTGGACCTTTGTAATTACAAAATAAGGTATATTTCAGTGTGTGTAATTGCAAAGCTTGGTTAATATTGGAATTAGGCACTTACTTCAAATTTTCTTTTGCAGTACTTTACAATCACATATTAGTTCGTAATTCACTTTACCGAACATATAATGTCTTAGTATGACAGATAAATCACTTTTTCTCACTCTCTTAACTTATGTTTGGATGATTGAAAAAAAGAGGACAGCCGCCCGTCCCATTCAACATGGATATTCGGTAACTACATTCCTCATGTAAGCCTTAAATCACATTCTACTTCGATTTTTCTTCAGATGCAAAAAGCCCTCAAAGACTTACTATTATCCGCTAACCTATTTAAGGGTAAGACAATATGAAAACTTGTAGGTATTCACTCCAACTCACAATAACATTGACCCGTTCACGTCCAAATAACCCAAAAGAATTCTGCAAAGTTTTGTTCACCTGAACAGGCAGCCCAGAAAAGAATTCTTACAAACTTTTCTCTTACATCCAGATCTTAAAGATCACTATGTTATTTCTTAGGTCTGAAAACTTCAAACGTCAATCGTATTCGTCAAAGTTTCAGATCAAGCAAAAATTGGGCACACCCCTGGAACACTAATGTGTTAAAGATCAACACAGGCTTAGCACAAACGAGGAAGAAACAGAAGCAGACGAGTTTAAGTAGAATATAATTTTACTGAACGAACCAGTGATCCTATGCGTAGTACATGTACAAGCTGTTGGATGCAGCACATGCGATCACATTAGCTGCTGGATGCCATGCTAAGTGAAGAAGTTTCGATGTAAAATCGTGCACTCCCCCATTTAAATCTGCACCTGGGCTTTCACTACCTGCTGCAGACACGTAAGAGCCTTAGTGATGAACACAATTAATTATAGCACAGAACACCAGCTGACACCAACTTATTACTTGCAGCTTCGAAAGATTGACTTACCAACATTAATGGACATCAATTTGCAGCAAAACTTTCACTGTGGAATAAGCAGACTGCCTTAAAATACCATAAAATTGAAGACATAGCATTAATTACGCATTGAACTGTATAGTAATGCATACACAGTGTGCACACAGTACATAGATACCAGCAAGCAGTTTCCAGGAACACGAGAGGACACATGGTATATATACTGGTTCGCAACTTGATCTCATTAGATCCTCTCAAAAATATGCACTGCACCAAGAAAATGTCCATAGTTTACAACAGTTTGTAAAGCTGTCGACACACTGCAATGAATCGGACACTGACCTCGACGATTATCACGTCGTCCACGCGCAAGATTGGCAAGTCGACTTCCAGGTTTGGAGGGAGGTGTCACGACGCGCCTTCAGTTTCACCACAAATTGAATCAGACTACCATCATCCACTCTTTAGCTGAAATGATGTCAATCAGAGTGAGATTCGAGCTAATACTGCCCATACTAGCAAGCACTATTACATACAAATGACGATAATTCATAGACTGACAGATAAAAGTAGTGCAGCAGTGCTACTCAATACAAGCTTACTGAAAATTAATCAGTTAGACAGCTCACAAAACAAGAACAAGTTCCGTGATGGCATTCTTGCAATTGATTAGAGACATGACCCTCCACGAACGATCAAGATCTCAAAAGCTTTAGGGCTATCTTGGACAGGCAACGCTCATTCAAATCAAAGTCTCCAGTATTTATTCAATGGCATGTTTACTGTACCTGTTTGGAGTTTTGCTAGCTTCCAAAGTTGATGCCTCCTCACTTCCGGAAGTGGCCCCAAATACCCGGAACAAGTTGCTGTGACAAAGAAGAATAATTCAATTCGGTACCACACTTGGAAGAGTACTAACAAAAATCTAAGAAGACATATGTTTAGATACAAGTTCCTGATTCACATGCTTCATTACAGGACTTATAAGATGCCAAAATATGTGGCTGAGCAATGACGTACCTGTAGGAACCAGTTGCTACACGCATGCCATCGCCACTGAAACAACACTCAAACTTATCGAAGATTGAATCGTTCTCATAAAGATCACAGAGCTGCAAAAAAACGTAAGTAATTTCTGTGAGTTCAATACAAACGACACAAACATAACCAACTAATTCCCCTGTTCTGCCTTCAGTTATATTTTGATTGAAGACTCCACTAATTGCAGATTTTCAATAACAAGTCCACCTTAATTCAGTTAATCACAGAGAAAAGGACATACTGACAAATCAGAACAAGGTTATACAAGAGAAATGACAAGGTTCACCTTTGGTCGCAAATGCTCGTGAACTTTAAATGTAGCCACAGGAGCAGATTCCATGTTCACATCCCACAGCTGAAGGACGAAAAAACACAACTCAGAAGACTTCATCACATTAGAAGAAAAATTGCTTTACCACTGAACGTAACTATATGTTTATGGGCTTGTTTCTTCTTCAGTCAACATTGCACCATCTTTAATCCTTGTTGGCGATTCATATACGACACTCTAATACAGGCCTAGCACTTGGTAGAGTTACGATTGAGGACAAGCCGGAAGGGGTTATATCCGAGCTAATGGTCCGAGAATCGCGGCATATATCTGCTAACAGAATACACCTAAAAGTCATATGTTCTGAAATTCGCCTTTAGAAAATTTCATACACATTAACAATTACTCATTCTTTACGAGGTCTTGTTACTTCATAAGCTTCACTTCAGCGATATAAATCACAACTCACATTCAGAATAGCTAGATTTAATATAACTAACCTTCAGACTCATGTAGTCCCGACTGAGAATATACCGATCACCTCTTGCAAACTTAATGTCAGAAATTGAAGCAATGATTTCTGTGAAAAAAGACCTTGATCCAGAGGGATCAGTCTCCTCAAACCTGCAACCACATCAATACCATGCAAACTTCAACGAAAAAGCATATCCTCGTACATACATCAACATTGGGACATAACCAGTGAATGATCAGTTCCCTCAACATTCACCTAAATCATGCGAGTCATGAAGGTACTTCGATTTGAACAAAAGTCTCACTTATACGACACAATACGTTCAAAATTACTTACTCTATTGAAACATTCCAACAAAAGAAAAAACTGTGCCATGAAACCATACGATGGAAACAGGAAAAAAATCACTTACACTTTAGAGTGTCGATCACACAAGGCTGATTGACGCATATCAATGAGTCGAATGGAACCCTTGCTGCTACTGTATGCTAACACATTGCAATGAGTAGGATGGAACTCTGCAGAAGTTATCACCTCTGTTCAACCCAACCCAACCCAACCCAATATCCTCAAAACATCAATCCACTGCCTAATGAACTGTTAACAAGAGAGATAGCTAGAGACGAATAGATATGTTGAGGTGGTGGTTGTGGCTGATGAGATAAATGCATGGAAGGAATACCTGTAAGGTCTTCCATGTTGGTTGGTTTAATATCAACAATGTTGAAACTCTGATCACTAACTTCAAGGTTCCATAAATTTATCCTCAAATCATCTGCAGATATGTATGTCTCAAAATCGCTGCACATGAAAATCAAGCGACATCTCTGTTAAGTTTTCAAATATTTTCAGGACTATGTATGCTTTCACATGAGACCAGGGATAATATTACCAACATATTGACACATGTCAAATCTACTAACATATTTCAATATAGGGACAATAGAACCAAAAAATTGTCCACATTGACATATGTAAAAGCTAAAAGCCGATATTAGTAGTGCGGTTAAAAAGAGGACCAAAAACTGCAGACAAACAAGTAGTACACATGATAATCATGAGCTGCTGCCGATTACATCGTTACCTAAGTGATCATTTCATGGTCTCGTTTAAAATTCTTCACACAATAATCAGATGTAAATACACTGCGGAATAAAATCACCACGCAGCACAACCTCAAGAATGAACAGCAAAAATTCCGATCTTGATTTACAACTCAAACATCTCAGGATACTTTCTACAAAACAATCTGCATATAAAGTACCTGTTGTTGGATATAGAGTTGATGTGATATGCATGAGCATTTGCGTAGACTCTCCTACATCTAGCAACTAAAGTCATTTCGTTACTCCAAACCTGCACTTTAAAAGTAACGCACTACTATGTTAGAGCCAGTTGAAAACAACTACGCCACAGAGGTGGCTATGATCTTAGAAAGCATCAAGAGGTATTCCAAACACTACCAAACTAAGAACCGAGGAGAATGAGAACAAAGTCTGCAACACTTAAAAAACTTGAAAGCACGAGGCTCGTACAACTACCGAGGGAAGATGAAGTGAAGGAATGCCTCCAGGAGGAAATACAAAATCCTGGCTAATTACGGATGATCGAGTCACAGGTCCTCCGTTTGATGATAGACGTGGTGCCAAGCCCTTTGGATTAAGCAACATACTATTTGTCAGCAAACTCCCATTTCCTCTAGCTCCGGGATCCACATTGAGGTTCTTGACCTGCTTCACTTTCTTTTCAGTCACCTGCACCATTGAGTTACACCTACCGTTATTTCGATATGGTGATTTAGAGAAACCACTATAGGGTGCACTAAGGAGTACAGTCAAATTAATGTGACATGTACTTATTGAAAGATACAACGAAGAAGATGCAGACGAAGAAGAACACCGACAAGAATAATTATGGAAGAAAAAACAAACATTTGTCGAATTACAGTATACGTCATGCTCCAAACCAACCCGTCACGTTGAAGATTTTGGCAATTGAGAAAAAGAATCTGTGAGAGTAAAGCTATTGCAACGCACCTGAGATAGTGAAGAATACAGATGCAAGACTTTAAGCACTAAAAGAAGTTTGAAAAGAAGCACACCATTGCAACAAAGGATACAATTTACATTGCTTAGGCTGAGAGTACCTTCCATAGTTTAATGGTCTTATCATTGGTAGAAAGTAGAAACTGAGCGGCATTGGCAGTCTGGCACCATCTAATTTTATTGATCTTCTCCTCTATTTCCAAACTCTTTAAGTAATCAAACTGCAAAGAAGAAGCATATACGAAAGTGAAAACGATCAGTGAACTTCAAATTAAAATTATTACAATTTTTTTCAAAAAATCAAAACAACACAACAAATAAGTCTACCAAACATAGTGAGAATGGACAAGCAAATGTCGTAAGATATATTTCAGTAATCTATCAATATCGTAGAAATCCTTCTGTCCCCAAGTACTGCAAAAACAAAGCTTTTACCTCGAGGGTTACAACCCTTAGTGACTTAAGGGTAACTAACTTCCTATATACAGTTACTATATGTGAACGCAATCGTCACAAAACGCTGGAAATTCTCAGAAACTGGTTACTGATCTGGGCAGCATTGATATTATTAGATTTACCTCCGGCTCATGACTTTGAAACTCAGTTGAGTATCGATATTCAGGATGCCTCGATACCACAGTATTAGCCTTTTCCAACTCCCTTCGTGTCCTTTGCTGCAAGTGTAACCAAAACACAGAATGGGATTCTTAAATACTTAAATTCAACCGAGCTGTCAAAACATGAACTTGAGCATAAATCTCAAAGAAGCTAATAGCGAAATACATCTGCTGGGCTCCAAAATTCTGAGGTCCAGGATAAGTAGACCTCAGATTACAACTAATAACGTCACAGAAAGCCCAGTCTTGCAACATCAAGTCAAACGACAGAAGCAGTTGGGCTTATCATAAAAACAGAACAAAGCAGCGCGAACTTGTGATGCATACAGGACAATCTGTGATAGCAAAGCCTGTACTGATTTCATTATTACTCATCACGAACAGTTAAGGAGACTTGCACAAAACCCATCACGAACAGTCTCTAGACGGCGTATCTCTCCTAAATATCATATACACTACGCGGCAATAAAAGAACCAAGCTGGAATGCGACCCAGTATCTCGGCGCTCAAAATATTACATTACTTGAAAATGACTCTTACTCGAGGTCAAGCAATGTTGGGGCAAGTATCATCGATTCCCACTTAAGGTGACTTGCAGCAGGACGCATGACAGTCTCAAAACTGGCAGAACTAAGCTACCCCGGGACCAATGCGCCAGAGTAACATATTAATTAACGACCGACATTGACCTCAGCATGTTATGAAGCCGAGCTGAGAGGACGTACGTCTCTGCCATCGGTTCTCTCAAAAAGCACAACACGTCCTCCTCTGTCGCCAGTCGCCAAGTGTTCTCCAGTTTTATCGAACTCAATAGCAGAGATAATGTCAACTGCATTCACCAACAATGTGAAATGAATTAATTTGAATTTCACATCATCGAACACGAGTATGAAAACGAGATCCATGTTGGCGGATTAACTATCCCTTCCCACAGGACAGCCGACTCGACCACACAAACACTTCATTGATATCAGGAAAACTCAAATTGACGACAGAAAAGAACTCAATTTCCACACACACATGCTCCCATCAATGACAAGAGTGACAAGATACTTGGACGAATGCGCTACATCTGCATAGTGCTTAAACTTCATCGAAAAAGCAGCACGTGTTACCACTCTAACGCAAGGTCGTAGTAACGTTAAAACGATAAATCCCAAGACAAGATGTACAGAAATGGTCACAAAAAAACTCAAACCTTGGTTACTAAACCTTTCAAAAAGCTACTCTAGTACGAGGACAACCTCCATGAACAATCCAATTGTAGACCACATACACCTAAAATGATGATCAAGAAAGAGTGCACAAAATGTTAAATTACGTAATGCGCATCTTAACACTTTAAAGTAGATAAGCCTTGATCGCAAACCCTTCACGTAGTGTTGTAAGACTAGTATACGTAAAAACATTCTCTACAAACTGGAAATTCTCGATATCTTTAAGAAGGGCTAGTATAGATAAGTGTACAGACGTTTCAGACTGAAATAGAACATCTAAGTATCCCGGTGACCCTAAAGCCAATTAACTAGCATTACATCGTGAATGATTGACGAGGAACTGAGTTTAAAACATATTGATACTAAACTCCTTGAGAATTCCAGTATATGACATCTACACGACTCAGATTGAAATACTTGCTTCAAGTAGAAGTATAAGGGATGACCTAGAGAAGGAGTTTAAGAAGAAGTTCCTCTCTGGCACTTACTCTACCATACCAGGAACAACAGCGTTCGCATCCAGACAACAAATGGTTGTCATAAATTCAAAGCAAATTTGTACTGTATAGAACACGTATCCCTAGACTGATCCCTCGGAAATTTAACCTAAACAAGAATCACCCATTGCTTCGAAAACAAGCGAACTCCACTACAGAACCCAGAAGCTCCAAAATAGAAACTCTCCCAAAACATGAGAAATCTACAAACCGACAAGCCATTCGCCAGTTCGAGCTCAGTAAGGTCAATGCCAACTACAGAAACCTCTCGAGAACTGAAAAACAAGGGAAATAATCCACACCACCCCGCACTACCTCACGGGATACACACTCTTCCCCCCAACGCAACTGCGATCCATAACATACCTTCTTGCACTTCTTCCCCGATGGCACGCTCCCCGAAAACCTGAGAAAATTTCCACTCCAGCGCAGGCAATGGCGCAGAAGAAGTGGCATCCGGGGCCCCGACACCAGCGGGCACCCCGCTAGCGCCACTGATCATCACTTCAAACCACAAAAAAAGCACTCACTCAACACACTCTCTCCGATCCTGACGAGCTCTGTCGTCCGTTTCCTTCCTCTTTTGCGCGAAGCCAAACCCACGCCCACGCCACGCCCCAACCCTCACCTCCTACAGAAACCTAAGCCCGAACTCACTACCACATTGAAGCCCGCCTCCGAATTGGCAGCAGCGTCTCCTCCATGGACTCCGTGTGGTCACGGAGCTCCGGCGGGCTCCACACTCCTTCAAATGTCGCATGCGAGGGCTCGTTGCAAAGAGGGCACCGCGGTGAATCCATTCATGACGGCCTCGGAGCGGGCGCGGCCTCACGTGCATCCGGAAAAACGTACGTGAAGCGTCCGAGCTCTCGAGGAAACACGCTCAAACCTCCGAGGCCATGGCAAACAAGAGCTTGAGCTCGGGCGACAATGAAGAGAGTCCGAGCCTCCTCCCTCCTCTTCCAACACACCACCCCCCTCCCCCCGCCCGGCCCGACCCGACCCGGCCCCGATCCCACTGCAAAAGCCTTCGACACGTGGCGTACATTTTTGGCGTGCGTTCCCCATGGCATCAATCACGGCAAAGCGGGTTATCTAAGCTTCGTTCCCAACTAGAGACAAGTTCCCAACCAGACAATGCTCCACGTTGGATTTATCTCACAAAGATATATTCACATACAATTCATTCTCCATGTGCTTTCCCTCTTTTATTCTTAACTCATAATACTTTACACTCATCCAAAAAAAATTAACAACTTTCATACTACCAACCCTTAGTATATGATTTTGCTAAGTGTTAAGTGTTAAAGTTGCCATAGCTCTTTATTTTTGTTGTCATTGAAACAAGTATGACATTACTACAAAATAAATAAATGAATGAATGAATACTTCTCTTATTAGTTAAATGTTTCAACTATCTCATTAGAAACTAAGACTATATAAAAATTATGAAATTTATAATTCATGATTAATAATACAATCTTATAAAAGTAAATAAATAAAAGCTATATAATATTAAGTAAAAAATATTTAAATTTATAATTTTAATTATAATTGTAATAAAATATGTCTCTCATGTATACATGAGAGTCTTTGAAGAATTTCTTATGTACATGTAATACTTTGAAAAAGCCATATGAATCCAAAAACAAATTAAAATTTATAACAATGTATGTTTAGAAAATATTAATAAATGTTCTATCTTTGCAAATTTGTAGTAATAGAAATACAATTCATTTTTTAGTTTTAAATATTTTAGATAACTACTTATGCATTTATCATTATACCAATAATAAGTTATAATCTAAAATAAATTTAAAAAATATATTTTATGATGCCTTAAGTTTGATTTCATAATTTTGATTAATTTATTAAAAAAAACTGTAATAATTTTCTTTAAAATATACCTTATAGGGTTGGTAGAAAGGCATATTAAAAATTCAGATTATGTATCTTTCAACTTGATGCCACTATTTATCAAGACATGCTATAAGAACTTTATACACTCATGTAGGATAACTTTCTTGCAATTATTAATATTCTTTTTAAAACACTTAATTACCATTTTGTAATATATATATATATATATATATATATATATATATAAAGAGAGAGAGAGAGAGAGATAATTTTGTCTGAAAATTTTGGTTTCAAAGATTGTAAATTTCGATAGAAGATTGCAACATTCAAAATTTATTGCATAAATCTCTGAATACATATTTGGTATTACATGTAACTTATGTGATATTTTCTTTTGTAATATGTTTTTAGTATTTGAAGTTTGAGTTAAATTATTTTTTTTTTATTTATTTTTTTTTTTATCCCATGAGTTATAATTTGGAATGATTAATATTTTTTTAAATTATGTATATGAGAATTTAAAACTTTAGGTATATTACTAGAAGTTTAGACCTTACAATATTTTATAATTTCCAATGATATTGATAATCTTTAGTAAATACTAATTTCCAATGGTTTACAGTTTTTTTGGTGTATAGAATAAGTTCCTAAGTCTTTACATTGAATAACTATTGACAACTAATTTGGTATGATTTATGTTATGGTACTTCAAATTTGGTACTATTACATAAATAAAAAGTAGGATGATCCATATGTAAGAAAATCATTATATTATTAGATATATAAACACAAATATAAATATTTTTATATGTATTACAATGTAACATAATAATAAGTTTTAGGCCATTATTCATATACTCATAAATTAAATTTCAAATATGATATTTGGTACTTAAATGTGTGTTATTAATAGAATTTATTATAATTGAAATCTTTCAATTGTCTTTTTATTTTTTATGTTATTTGAATTTTTGATGAAATTTGAAGTGGTAAAATCAAATAAAAAAAAACATTTTTTTAATCTTCTACTTTGATCTTTTTAAAAATTTAAAATTTAGAATAATTTTAGATTTTAAAAAATAAAATAAAATGTATCTAAATTTCAATTTGTATTTATATCTTTATTTTTAAGTGCTTTACAATTTTATTGAATCTCATTAGAACATAATTTTTTTAAAATAAAATCTAAATAACATATTTAATGTTTTATCATTCGATTCTATTAAAATATTTATTTTCAGTAAAATGTACAAAAAACTTAAGATCTTGATTTAATACTAATTAACATTGTATTAACTATTATATATTTTTAAAGTATTTTATGTTAAAAATTTGAAGAATATACAACCAAATTTTTAGAAGCTTAAATATACTATTAAGATTATACATGCTAAAATTACGTAAATTTTATAAATATACATGTTATTTTTAAACAATTTTTTATGATTTACTTAATAAGTTATTATTTTCTTAAAAATATTGTGTCTAGATAATTAATTTGGCTTCTAAAAACTATCAAATATTTCATTGTTTGATTAATCAAATAAAATCATACTAAGTACAAATTCTTGCTCAAAATTGAACAAAAAATAATTTGATATGAAGAAAAATGTTGTATCATATTTCTTGTTGTTAACAAGCATTCAAAGGATTAGAAATGATAAATTTATGGTTTTTTAATATTGTAAAATTTCTTTAAATATTGTAAGTTTAGACCTTATAATACTTTTATAATATTTTAATATTTATAAATAAAAATATATCTATTTAAAGTATAATATATATAATAGATTAAATATTTAGAGAGATTAATATATATCTTATTTGATAATATAATAAAATATTGATTTGTGAAAAGCATAATTAGAAAAAAATTATAAAAAAAAACATGTTATTTTTGTGTTATTTATTAGAAGAAATAATTGATCATTTGATATATCAATTCAATAAAGCATTGATCAAATTTGAAAGAAGAAAAGCTTTATTCAAGTCTTTTGATTAAAGATAAAATTATAAAATATATATAATTAAACTATATATATGTATATCATTTCAAATAATAAAATAAATATTTTTAAAATTATATTTTTCAATATATATATTATTTTTCACTTTTCATTACATGATGGTAATTTCAAAAAAATAAAACTAAAAATTATAAAATTATAAAATTTATAATAAATATTATAGCTATAGTGTTTGAAATGTAATGAAAAGAAACTATTTAACTTCTTTCCTTCTCTTTGTATATATGGGATAACTATATCAATATACTTTTGTTTTTTTTATGTGTGTGTATATAACTTCTAGCTATTCTTATCTTTTTTCAAATATTCTCAACACAATATCAGCACGACTGCTCTTATGCACTAGTTTTAGTTCTTAAAAACTTATGTGTATTTTGTCTTGTGCCTTTTCTTTGTTTTTTTGTTTTTTTGTTTTTTTTTGTTTTACTTATACTATATCACTTTGTACATTGTTGTTGCTATATCTTATCTGCTGCACCGTGCTATTAAATTGTCACGTACTATCATGCTTCACCAAACTGCCATGCCCTACTACTAAAGTATCATGTACTATCATTGTAACAGGGCATGGATAGGATGGTTGTATTATTTACATATGAAGATATGTAATTGGAGTCGTTTTTGGAAAGCTTCTAGAATTGAGGTTAGGATAGTAGTTTATATGAGATCTACTATAGAATCTTATAGAAAGGCTTAAGGCAATTATCATGGTGGAATCTATATCTAAAATCTTCTAGAAGGGCGATTCTCTTGATGGAGCTCACTATTAGGGACATTCTAAAAAGTTCCAAGATAGTTGAACAAAATATAAATATGACTAAATGAGGCCATTTGAAGCATTTGATTACAAATAGCTTCAGATTCTTTTTCACAATAAAGTTTGATTTCCTTGTTTTATTATATTTTGTTCTATTTGATTCTATAATCTTTTATTTAGTCCTATCTTTCATATTCCATTCCGTTTAGTTACTTTCAGTTTTGTTCCAATGTGCTTGATCTTATGTTGTATTGAGATCTTTGGTATTATGGATTTGGTAAGATTTTAGACCTTAGAATATCTGTTCTTGTTTCATTGATATCAGAGTAAATGTTAGTTTGTTCTTTGGTAGTATATTGATATCCACTATTTGATTGGAAGTCAATTATTGTGATCATTTTGAGTACTATTTTGGGACTACAATGAGTTACTTTAAGAAGTCAAATGGATAAAGAGAAGGCATTACTATAACAAAGTTCAGTAAGAAAATTACAACATGGGAGATATGATAGAACAATTCTAGATATAGACTCAAATACAATATCTTCTAGGCTATATAGCTATTATGTAAAGATAAATAAAAGCTTCTAATAGAAGGTAGTAGACATCTACGAGGTTGAAATTGAGCAAGTCTGATATATAGTCAAAGACCTTAATACAAGAAGATATATGCCAATGGCTCTTCAACATACAACAATATCTCCAATTATCTAAGACAAACACCAAAAAAGAAATTATATATGATTCTAGTTATTTGAAAGCTGTAACAACCATTTGGTGGCAATATTAAGTTCAAAGCTATAGAATTCAAGGCAAATTTGGTGATTAAAAAGAGTTTGAGATCAAGCTTAGGAATGAATTTTGGCCTATTAATGTGAAGAAGTTAGCATGCAATTAGTTGGCTAACCTTACATAATCTAAATTAATGCAAGATTATATCTCCTAATTTTAAGTTTATATGTTTATAAATTGATAACATTTTAGAGGTAGAGATGATAGATCGGTTTATACAAGATTTGAAACCCGTGATAAAAAAAAAAAAAAAAAATAGAATTAAGGGATCGACAAATATTTGAGTAAGTAGTTAGGATTGCAAAGATGGTCAATGCTATAGATTTTAGAAATTATAGAGTACAATCTATAGCTTGGAGTCCTATGCTACTAGCCAATATTATGGTTCAATAATCAATGTTGATAGAGGTTGATGCTTTACAAGGACATTGACACTACAAAGACGACAATTATTGGTGCAAAAGAGAGTGTGCTTTTAAAATGCCATAGTTAGAGGTAGAGAAT